AGCGACAATGAAGCAGCAGCCGTCGGCGCCGCCTCCGCCGCCGTCGCCCGCCGCCAGCGCGGGGGTCCCGGCCTTCCTCAGCAAGCTGTGGGCGCTGGTCGGGGAGGCCCCCAGCAACCAGCTCATCACGTGGAGCCAGGTAACCCCTCCCCCCACGCGCCTCCGGGGGGGCGAGCGGAGCCCCCTCCCCCTCGGAGCGCCCCCCCCTCCGGCAGTGACGGAGCCGCCGAGCGGCCACGCCCCCTTCCACCTTCGGGGATGTCTCCCGCCTGCCGCCATCTTGTTCCCGCCCCCTCGGGCCGGGACGGGGGCCTGAGCGAGCGTGGGAGGGGGTTGTGCTTGAGCCTTCTGCACCACCCACCGGTCGCGCGCACATGGGCATACACACGCAGGAGCGCGCGCGCCCCGACGTGCACAGGAGCACGTGTATCCCAACGCGCACTCGGGTGTGGACACCCACACGGCCTCCCCCACCCACTCACTTACACACCAGGTGTAGCACCTCTGTATCAGGTTTCTGTCCAGCATTCATGTGAATGTATGGGAGGAGCCATCTGGGCCAACACATAGGAACATGCTCACGCTCACTTTTTCTTTTTTTTTTATTCATTATTTTGAACATGTGGGAGAGCCTGCCTACACCACACACATACATGCACATGCTTGCTCTTCCTCTCTTTCATTCATTACCAGCTTTCATTTGAATGTGCAACAGGGCACATAGGCCGTGGCACATGTTGCCATGTATTGCACAACTGGCTGGTGAAACAGGCAATGAATGTAGACCAGACATAGCTACAAAGTAATAATCACAGGACAGAAATGATTCTTCAGCTTTAAAGAGAGGCAACCAACTGCAAAGTTAGTGCTTGAGAATGTGTTTCAACTCTAGCTGGTTTCTATCCAAATTTAATTTGAACATGAGGCAGGTCATTCATGCTTATGCACTTGTAGTCAATTGCTACATGCTTTAATTTGAGTGTGTGGGAGGGTCCACCCACACCAACATGTGCATGCTCACTTTCACTGGCACTTCCTTTTTCTCCCTCATTCATTGCCAGCTGTAATTTGAATATGTGGTAGGGCACATATGCCCAGGCCTCTAACACATTACATGTATCATGCAATAAATGTAGACCCAACACGCCTGCAAAGTAATTATCCCATGATAGAAATGAATGTGTTTGACTGTAAAGAGAAGAGGGGCAGCCAACGATAAAGTTAGTGCATGAGTATGTGTAGCAACTCCATAGCTGGTTTCTATCCCAGTTTAATTTGAACATGAGGCAGGGCACTTGCACTCATGCACTTATACTCTACCTGCTTTCATGTGAATGTGTGGGAGGGCCCACCCTGCCCTGTCTTACCCACACCAACACATACATGCATACACGCATGTGCTCACTTTCACTCACGCTTGCTCTTTCTCATTCATTACTAGCTTTAATTTAAATGAGTGGCAGGGCACATGTGCACAGGCCCCTGGCACATATTGCATGTATCATGCAATTCACTGGTGAAACACATAATAAATGTAGGCCAGATACTGCAAAGTAATAATCTCAGGACAGAAATGACTATTTGGCTATAAAGAGAGGCAACCAACTGCAAAGTTAGTGCTTGAACATGTGTAGCAACTGTAGCTGGTTTCTATCCAAATTAATTTGAACATGAGGCAGGCCATTCATGCTTGTGCACTTGTACTCATTTGTTACCCACTTTAATTTGAACATGTGTTAGGGTAGGAATGCATGCATATTCATTCGCTAGCATCTGTTGTGTAGCTGCCCTACCTCCCGAGTCATCTTTCTTGGCAGTGGCTGAATGAAGCAGGCATGGGTAGTCTGTCAAGGCAACAGTGAAGTATTGTGCTTCTGCTTCTGGTCTCTCCTAGTCTCTGAGGTCAGTACCTCACCTGACTTTGCCATAACAATTGGTCAAAGCCACCCTGCCAGCCTGGCTTTATTACCCAAATGGTTTAATGCCATGTTTCAGCATCTGTGGCAGCCTGGGCTGCCTCAAGATCCTTTGCAGGGTGCCAGGCTATGTTGGCACTGGTAGATGTAAAAACATGATTCACAAGTAAATGCAGAAATTTCAATCAGGAATCGCAGTGTTAAAATGATTCTGCCCATCTGTGGGTTTTTGGGGTTCTTTGCAACAGAATAACACTTCCTGTATTTTTCCGTAGTCAAAAATGAGTGAAAACTAAGCATTGGCATTATCCCGGGGGTAGCTTGAGTCTAAACAGGAGGTACCTGGAGTCTGAAAGGTTTAGAACCACTGCTTTAATGGCAGATGGTTTATGTTAAGGGGTGACCACTTGGAACAGGTCTTGTTGTACAGTGGACATGCTGGGCTTGATAGAATGAAAAGGATGGCCTGTTTCAGGAATATGCATGAGTCTGTGGCTCCTACTGTAAAGCATTTCAGCTATTCTAGAGGGAGGGAGGAACAACTGTATTCTCCATCACATTTCTTTCTACTCTTAGTTGTTAGGCTTTATAAAAATGTTTTATATTTGTATGGTATTTCTAATATGTAGGGCTTGGGTTACTTTAAAAGGTGGGTAGATATTTCCATTTATAGTATACTAACTCATAGAGTACCAGTCATGAAAGCAGGTACATATTTGCTTAAGTCAAATTACTCCACCTGTATTTGAGGGACTACTCACGTTTAAGTCCTCGAA